GAGCTACAGGCTTCATCTCAGGAGTGTTGTTTTTACTTGCCGTTAAGTAGGTTCCTACTCATAGTGACCCTGTGTAGGGTTCCCAAGGAGCTACTGGTAGGTTTGAACCACCAACCTTGTGGTTAGGAGTTCAGTGTTTATCCTGTAAACATTAGGATTCTTTCATAGGAGTAGTATCAAAAATTTTGAGGTCATGTTTTAAAATTGTCATAGGTAGTTACTAGGTAGCACTGTGGTTGTCATGAGACAAATAAGCACTAGAATGCTAACCACAAGGTTAGTGGTTTGAGCCCACCAGCTCCTCCTCAGGAGGAAGATGAAGGTTTCTGTTCATGTAAAGATTTACAAGCCTTGGAACCAATTTGATGATACTTAACAGCAACAACAGGTAGTTACTATAATTTTTATTTTATTTTACAGATGAGCAAACTGAGCATAGAGCAGTTCGATTACTTGCTCAAGATGACATGCTTAGTAAGTGACGACATTATTTATGCTTTGGTAGTGTGCACCGTTAAGCTTGATGCTATATTGCATCTCTCTGCTGGTGCAGACAGTGAATTGCTTGACCACTAATTGAAAGGTTGACAGTTTGAACCCTCTCAGCATCTCCATGGGAGAAAGATCTGAAGATCACTTTACATAAACATCATAGCCAGGAGAACCCTATGGGGCACTGCTCCTCTGTCACCCGGGGATTGCTGTGCCGTGGAACCAACCAGATGGCACCTAACAGTGACAGTAATCATCCATATATTGTACTCATTTAGATTTTAGTTCTTCCTCAGCGTTTTCATGGTAGAATATTAGTGAGATTAATATTAAGTGAATGACACGTGTTTATAAATCATAAAACCAAATAAATAGCACTTTCAAGGATTTGATAGAGGTCAAGTTAACATTGAAGGTGCATTCTCAGCCTCCTGGTTCAGGAGGATTTGTTTGGTTCCATTTCTGAGCCCTCTTTTCTTCATCCCTGTCTCCTGTTGCCCCCAAAGAGAATTTATTATTACCTCCAGATTCAAACAGATGGTGGTTTTGAGTAAAACCCTGCCAGTCTCAGCATGCTACCTGCTCCACCCATTCATATAGCATAAAATATGTGTTAGGAAAAGGAATTGGAATGCATAAAAACTGTTGTTGTTGTTGTTAAGTGCTGTTGAGTCATTTCTGACCCATAGCGACCCTGTATAGGGTTCCGAAGAGCAGCTGGTGAGCTTGAACCACCAACTTTGCAGTTCAAATGGCTTTGCAGTGTGGTGCATTAAACTATAAGAGGAGTTAAATGTTTCTCGTTTTAACAGAGTTCAAAATGAGGCTTAAGGTTAAACTCAATTTAGACAATATATTTATATATATTCACAGAGATACATGTGGGTGTATGTGTGTACACATTTATACATGTATATGTATACACATACATGGGTGGTGTAAACAGTTAATGTGCTTAATTGCTAACTGCAATATTGGTTTCAGAAGAAAGATCCGGCGATTCACTTATGAAAAACCAGCCATCGAAAACCCCAAGGAGCATAGTTCTACTCTAACATATGAGGCTGTCATGAGACAGAATTACGTTGATGGCAACTGGGGTTTTATACATTTGTTTAAATTATGTGTTATATCATTTCATAGAAAAAAATCAAATTTTCATTCAATTTCTCCACTAGTGATTTTAAGTTCTCTCATATGTAACATGTAACTGATCTTGCAGGTGAAATCAGAAAAAAATAAGATAGGTTATCCCAAATTCTGGAGTGTACCCAATGAAATAATAAACGCAAGCTTTATAAACCTAAAAACAAACAAACAGAAAAAACCGATTTCATGTTCAGAGAGAATAGATCTTGCCCTGTGAAAGTGACTTGCCATGTTTTGCAAGTTCCGACTCAAAACAACCATATATAGGATTCCTAAGGCGCACTGGTGGCTTTGAGTCACCTAGCTCGTGGTTAGTCCAGCGCTTATCCTGCAGTGCCACACCAGGACTCCATTTACTTCCCTCTGGACTCAGGTTTACAAATTCCTCTTCTGCAGTGATCACATGTTGTCATTTCACACCTGGTGTTCGGCTCCATGTGGTCACCACAACAGATTCTTCACTTACCAAAGTCCTCTTGTGAAAGCTTAAATGAAATCTTTCTAGCTTTCCAATTTCTGGGTCTCTTAGTGGTTTGTGTAAAACTCTCTAATGTAGAAAACCTCATTTTATTGCTCAGAATCGGAGCATCCCGAATACGATGACTTCATTTAAATCAAATCTCTCTCTCTCTCTCTCTCTCTTTTTCCCCCTCTACTTTTCATCCTACCTGACCCCTCCTTTGTTGGATAGTCTTCTAATTTGGTGTCATTGGTAAGGTAGTGCTTTGCTGACTCTTTTCTGCACAGTGTGCCCTGTTATGTTTCTTGACTATACATCGTTACTGTGTGGTCCATGCATGCTGTCACTGCCCCATGTACAGACCTTTCCAGCACACGTGGGTGCCCTATCAGGCCCAGATATGCAGCTGCCTCTGTAACATGACTGTGATCATTTGATACATCTAAAAGCCGATTTCTTAAAAAAATTCCCCATTCCCAGGTTCTCTATTCTTGAGGTCATAAAGCACATGCCACTGTTGTTTCCTCTTTTGTGTCCCATGTATGAGAGGGCTTCAGAAAGTTCGTGGGAAACTGGGATGGAAAGATAATGGAAAATTTCCACGGACGTTTTGAAGCCCCTACATCTATGTTAAATAAATTCTCCCTCTAGATGTGTCTTAGATGGTACCCTATTGTCCCTCTCAAATTTGCCATTTAGCATTACCCCTGGTTGCTAGTGGGATGCGTGTCTTTGGTGGTAGGTGGGAGGGGCAGGACAGAAGGTGGGAGGGGAGGAAGCAGCTGTGTGATGAGCTGGAGAGAGACAGTGATTACTGAGGTCCTGTGTTCTCCAGTGTCTGCCCCATGAGCAAGGGGAGTTCTGGGAGTTCCCTGCGGAGATTCCCTTCTGTGGAACCACTTCTTGGGCTGTGATGTTGACTCAGGTTCTGTACAGACATGGGTGTCTGCCCTCAGCTGGAGTTGTATTAGGGCCCCACTGTGCTGTGAGTGATCCCTGGCTGACGCATACCATTTGTGCTCACCTGCTAATCTAAAGGCTGCTGGTTTGAAGCCCACCCTTAGCCACATGGAGGACAAGCCTGGTGATCTGCTTCTAGAACGATTACAGCGTACGGAGCAGCGCTGCTCTATAACACACATAGTTTCTGTGAGTCATCTCAACTCAACAGCAGTGGGTTTAGTGGTTTTGGTAGAGTGGCTGTGAACAGTGGTAAGACACAGTAACATTGTAGGTTCTTCTGGCATTTGTTACCTGAATTATGATGGAGTTCAACAAAGTTATAGTAACTACAGCAACTTTATTAGCAGCCTGTAACATTTGTTAAATATTTACAGTGTTGTAGAAGTGGGTCTTTTAAGAGTTCATGGAAAAATGAAACGAAAAGATAATGGAATTTTTCCATGAACTTTTGGAAGCATCCTTGTATGTGTTTTCCATATATTAGTTCATTTCATGTCTGTGACAGCTCTAAAATCATTCACCCACTCCCATCGAGTCTATTCTGACCCGTGACAACCTTACACAGGGCTTCAGAGACTGCAAATCTCTACAGGAGCAGATGGCCTCATCTTTTTCCTGAGGAGCAGCTGGTGGATTTGAACCCCAGTGATCTTTTGCAGTCCAACCTGTAACCACAGTGCCACCAGGCCTGCTTTAGCCTGCTGCTGTAAAAAGAACAAGCAAAACCCCCTTCGCCTCTGTATCAGTCCCGGTTCATGGTTCACAGTGTTCTTGTAGGACAGAATACACTTGCCCTAGAGGTGATGTGGCTCTGTGTGCTAATGCGTCAGATTACAAAGTCTTTTGAACTACAAAGTCAGCAGTTCAAGCTCACCAGCTGCACCTTGGAAACCCTATACAGGATCACTATGGGTCGAATCGGGCTGCGAACCTTAAGGTCAGCGGTTCAAAACTACCAGCCGTTCCACGGGAGAAAGATGAGGCTTTGTACTCCCGTAAAGATTTACACCCTCGGAAACCCTGTACAGGGTTGCTATGGGTTGGAACCGACTCGATGGCACTTAACAACAACAACAACATGGGTCAGAATCGACTCTACGGCACTTAACAACAACAACAAGTCTTTGCCTATGTGACTTCAGACATATTGTCAGGAGCGACCAGTCCCTGGACAAAGACCTCATGCTTTGAAAAGTGGAGAGGCAGCAGAAAAAGGAAGACCCCCTCCCCCAATGAGATGAATTGATACAATGGCAGCAACATTGGGCTCGGGCCTAACCACAGATATGAGGCTGGTGTAGGTGGGAGTGAGCATTGTTTTGTTCTATTGTACATAGAGCCACTGAGAGTCAGAACCGACTCGATGGGAACCTAACCACAACACAACCATGTGTACAAAAGGAGACTGCTACAGGTTTCTCCCCCAGAGCAACCGGTGGGTTTGTACCACTGACCTTGGATTAGCAGTGGAGTGCCTTAACCACTGCTCCCCCAGGGCTCGGTAGTCTTCTCATTCCACAGGAGGCAGAGACATGGAGAGGTTCAGTTCACCTAGCTGCAAAGTGGTATTGCTAGGAAATCAAACCTGTGGCCCTGGAGTCTGTGTTCCTGCTGTTTATGTGTTGCCTCTGTGCTGGGTCCTCCACCAAAACTTGGCACCTCCATCCACAGAAGTAGAGACTGAGCTGAAGAGGTTTTAAAAGCAACTACTCAGGGAAGGGTCCAGCGGTGTGCAGCAGCCACAGGATGTGAACTCAGACGTTTGCTTCAAGCCTGGGTGCTCACCGTGGGTGTCAGGTGCTGCCAGACCCCAGTCTTGGCATGCCCCGTGGCTTCAGGAGCAGCCTCTGAGGTACTGTGGCAAGTTCCTGAAGGGGTCAGGCTTTCCTTGCCCCCGAAAGACATTTAAGGCAACTGTGTGTGTTTCCTCCTGCAGACAGTGAGGGTGGCCACACACTGCATTCCAGAACAGAGACAACGCCATCACCCACCAATAGTGCTGAGAATGGACATGCAAGATACATCGCGTATGCGCTTGTCCCTGTATTCTTCATCATGGGTCTTTTTGGCGTCCTCATCTGCCACCTGCTTAAGAAGAAAGGGTATCGTTGTACGACAGAAGCCGAACAAGACGTCGAAGAGGAAAAGGTTGAAAAGATAGGTAAGTAACCTGGATTCTTTGTACAGGGAGCTGAGTGGGGAGAATTTTAAATAAGAACCCACTCAGTTTGTGTTCTCCATCTTTATATGGGACAAAATGATCTATTTTAACTGCAGGTGGTGCAGGGTAAGTGTAGGCCTTTCAGTAATTCTGCCTCGAGTTTGAATCCTTGCTTTGATTTATTTAAAAACCAGGTACCTCTGAGCTGATTCTCACTCATGATGACCCTGTGTGTGCCAGAGATCTCAGTGGCTAAGTTTTTAAAAACTGTATCACCTGCCCTTCCTTCTAGGGTTCTTCTGAGTAGACTTGAAATACCTACCTTTTGGATAGCAGCTAATAAGCACATTAACTGATAGGACTGCCCAGGGACTTTTACTTACTTAACAATTTATGCTGATTTGCCATGTGGCCTCCAAGCGTACCAGTGATTGTGAGGTTGGCACAGGAGTTTCATTCTGTTGTGCATAGGGTCGCTATGAGTCTGTACCAACTCGATGGCACCTAACAACAAGAAGCCATTTGTCCTGGGCAGTTTATATCCTCTGAACCTCTTGTTTCTTTATATAGCATCTAAATAAGAACAGTAATCTCCTCCTTGAATTATTGTGAAATTTAGAGAGAAGAGGCATTCAGTGCTTGACACTTAATGAATACATAGCAAATATTAACCCTTAGTATGTTTATTAAATGAGATTCTAATAAGAATGGTGAGAAAATTAAATTTTTATGGTACTTACTTTTGTTGGGGGAGTTCTGTCTTAAATCTGTGTGATTAGAATTAATTTATGTGTCTAAAATAAATGATTGTGGAGAATGCTGTGGTCTCTTAGAATTAAGGGGAATCTTGCTTTTCTTTCTTAGCTTTCAGAAAACCCTGAGAGATGAACTCCTGCTTTCTCCACAGATTTTCATCCTGTTTGGCAGCTTCCTGACTTGGGTCTTGTTAAGTTCTGTCGAGTCGGCTCTGACTCAGCGACCCTGTGTAAAGTTTCTGAGAAGTGGTCATTTTGAGGGGATAGGAAATAACTCTTCCCAGCTCCTTTTAGGTCTTCAAAGAGCAGCATTTTGCAGAAAGGTGACATTTGGAGTAGGTCACTCCCCTCCGGTGAGCCTGGGGAGTGTTGTGGGGGGAGCTTCCTCATTCCTTGCCAGCTTGCCTAGCTGTTGGTTTTTCCCACCCCCACTGACCTTTGTGGTAGAGATGAGTCATGTATAAGCTTATGAGCAAACCAAAGCTGAGTGTTTGTCAACAGAAAGCAGGCCTTCCTCCTCTCACCCTTCGCAGTTCCTCCGTCGGGTGGTTTAGCAGTCTGCTTCTCATTTCAAAACCAAGTGTTTATATTAGTGTAGGTGGACAGCTGACCTTTTGGTTGGAGCTGATGCTTGTCCAAGTAAATGTGTCAGACCTAGCACGCATTGATTGGCTCTCTGTGAATTAGGATGAAGTGTTTCAAACCTCCTAGAAACAAATCCCACTGATTGGTTTCAGAGTGGAGGTTTTAGTATTTTCAAAAGCCATCACAAACGGTCAAGTCTTCTAAAAGCAAACTGAGTTTGTGGACAAATAATCAAAGCCCAAATTAAGGTAATTTGGAAGTGTATTTAAACATTCAGAGGAATCTTCTAACATGGATGAATAATGAATTTTCAAAAGAAATTAATAATTTAAACTCATAGTAAGTCTACAAGTAAATAAACCAAAGAGATTGAAGGAAAGGATGAGACAGAAATGACCAGAGCGGGACCTGGTATAAATGCATACAGCTGTGGCCTGGAAAGTCCGAAGGTACTTAGGAAAGCATATTCTAGATTGAGCTTAGTGGAGAATTCTGGTACTTTCTTCTTACGATTGTTTTGCCAAGGGTGTGCCTACATTTTGTGCTATATGTAATCTGGGCCCAACAGAACACAGCCTCGTCTCAACAGCATGTTTGATCTCCAGAGCTTTCTGGAGGTTGCTGAGTGAGATCTTGCACTCTAAGGTTTAAAGGTTTGACTTGATGCAGGGAGTCTATGGTAACATGTTCTCTCCCCTTTCTCTTTCAGAACTGAATGACAGCATGAATGAAAACAGTGACACAGTTGGGCAGATTGTCCACTATATCATGAAAAATGAAGGTATGAGCACTTTGTTGGTCTTGAACAATTCAGTATTCTTACATTACAGTAAACACTTGCTCTGAGGAGACAGGGTATGTGTGGACCCTCCTGTCAGTGTTTCTGAAGTGATCAGTTGGGAGTGTGTGAGTTTCCAGCGTGAGCTGACCACATCCATGGTCACAGGAGGGTTTCATAGCCATGAGTTTTCTAAGTGTCAATTTATGTGTGTGTCGTAGCACCAGCCCTAGCGACCCTGGCTTCTCTGCTTACTGGGTGTGTATGACTTGGGGAAAGTCACAAAGCCGCCACTTCCTCATGTGTAGGACGAGGGTATTAATACCGTGTACCACCAGTTGCCCTTGGGTGGATTCCAGTTCATGGTGACTCCATGTATGTCAGAGTTGACCTATGCTCCATAGGGCTTTCTCACTGGCTGATCTTTAGGAAATAGATGACCATGTCTTCCTTCCAAGTTGCCTCTGGGTGACTTGAACCTCTAACCTTGGGGTGAGCAGCCCAGTGTGTTAACCATTTGCACCGCCTTGTTGTTAAGGGCCATCGAGTCAGGTCTGACTCATAGCGACTTTGCATAGGGTTTCTGAGGAGCAGCTGATGGATTTGAACTATCAACATTGAGGTTAGCAGTATAGTGCTTATCCTACCGTGACACACAGGGCTCCATTTACACCACCTGGGCACACTTAATGTCTGTATCACAGCATTGTTGTGACTTGGTGCATGCGTAGTATACTAAGCATTCAAATGGTATGTGTTTCAAGTTTGAAAACTTTTATGAAATTGGTTCTTTATAGATTCAAGCAACCCCCACCCCCACCTGAAATATGTTCTGGTGCCCTGCTTCTTGAGTCAAGGACTAATTTAATCTTGATTGGATAAATCAGGATCATTGGTCTGAACACTGGTTATGATCTTGATAGGATACTATGTCCTCAGTAACTGCTAAGGTGCATTGGGTACCCACACTTGGTAGCTATAGATTCCTGTACTGTGACTTCACAGGACTATTTAAAAATTAAATAACTTTTCCTTCAGTCTCCATCTTTGTTCTGTTCAGGGCAGACTCATCCAATATGCACTGAGGCAACTGAGCCATTTGTCCAACAATTCAGCTGCTTCTATAAATGAGTAAATACTGGCTCTCGGTCCTCCCCACCCCCAGCCCCATCCCACCCTGCCAATATCTTCGGCATTCAGTAAAGGCTTGTGTCTGGCCCAGCCTGCGGTTTGTTTGTCAATGTTTTTGACTAAGTAAACCTCGCTCTTCAACCACATCGACTCCAAAGTTTTCACAGTTACTGTTGGGCATAATTTTCATTGCTGTTGATAGAGTGCATTTTTACATATTTGGCTTAGTTCAAGATGCTTTATGTGTTATCTCTTTAATCTTAAAACAGCACTATAAAGTTGGTATTATTATACCCATTTTAATGCACAGGTGAATGGCTTTAGGGTCACTATGAGTCGGTACGGACTCAATGGCACCTAACAACATATTCATAGTTAGGAAGCAGCCCAGCTCTGTCTGACTTCAAATGCAGTGTCCCGTTGACCATATAACATTGCCTCTCCTGTCTTCTCACTTGAAGGTTTCACTTTGCTGCAGTCTTTAAAATCTGATACCCAAACTTACTAAAATACTGTTTTTAAAAACATCCAGAACACCGAGATTTTGCTCTCTGTCTTCCACAGTCTTTTCTCAGGGCATAATATTTGGTGATATAAATCCTGAATAATCAATGATGCATGTTTCTTTTACATTCAAAAGTGCTTTTTAAACTTGTACCAGAAACACACCAAGATGTGTTTCGCAGTGAAGGTCCCTCCACTGCAGATGTGTGCAGAGGAAGGCTTGCAAGTTTCCCTCACTGCCTCTGTGCCTTTCATAGTTGAAACTGCCTCCCGTGGCTTTGGGAGCTCTGAGGCCTATGGGGGCTGGCCTTCTGAGAGCTGATTGTTGTAGTTCGGTGCTGGTGAGTTGGTTCTGAGCTATAGCGACCCTGTATAGGGTTTCCAAGGAGTGGCTGGTGAGCTTGAACCGCTGACCTTGCAGTTCAAATGTCTTTGCAGTCTGGTGCATTAACCCACAGTGCCACTCCAGGACTCATCTTGAGAGCTGAAGCAGCTGTAAGTTAGTGTCTCCAGATGAGGCAGGTACAGAACATCTGAACTGATGGAAATAAGTCAGCTCTGAAATCTTTGCTAAAGTTCTTAAGTATAGACTTCATTTTGTTGTTGTTACGTGCCATCGAGTCGGTTCTGACCCTTAGTGACCCTGTATAGGGTTTCTGAGGTGTGACTGGTTGAAGTTCAAACAGATCTTGCAGTCCAGTGCATTAGCCCACAACACCACACCATAGGCTTCATGGAGTTGTTTCCGACTCATAGCGACCCTGTACAGGGTTTCCGAGGCTCTAAATCTTTATGGGAGCAGAAAGGTTCGTCTTTTTCTTGCTGAACAGCTGGTAGTTTTGTACTGCTGACCTTGAGGTTAGCAGCCTGACTCGTAACCACTAAGCTACCAGAGCTCCTTATAGATTTCATAGCACCTATCAAATGTGTGCCATGTACCAGGCCTGTTCTAAGGATTTTCCTGGTGTGGCTCTGTAGGATAAGCACTGGACTGACTGCATGGTTGGTTTGAACTGTAAGATTGGGGATTCAAACTCAACCAGCCGCTCTTCAGAAACCCTGTGAAGGGTAACTGTGAGTCAGAACCAAGTTGATGGCACTTAACAGCAGTCAGCCCATGAATCAGATGCTTTATTCTAAGGTTGCAGTTGGACCGAGGCCCCGTGTGCTTAACTAACTAAACCCAGATGGCACAGCAGCAGGTTTTTGCCCAGGTCTCTGTTACCATCTTGTCTGAAGTGTGAGCTTTCCTTTTACCTGTAAAGACTGTAGTTATAAGGGCAATATTATATAATTCCCTCATCTCCCAATTTGTGGGCAAACAGGACTGTTTTTTTTTTTTTTTTCCCCCTTCCTGTCTTGCTTTAATGATGTCCTTTTCCTTATTGGAAAGTGGCCTTTTTGATTCCACTGTGTTGATTACCGTCTCATCTAGTAAACAAGCAGTAGGTGCCCCAGAGTAACACTTGAGATACATTTTTCAGTCTTTCTCCTCTTCTTCCTAATTCCTTTTCCCTTCGGTCTTAATCTTGACTCTGTTCTTCTCTCCCTTTAACCATGCACACGTTCCGGTGGTGTCTTCAGTGACCTGTGGGGACAAGTAGTGGTTCTGTTCTTTCATGTCACCCTTGTTTCTTCTCCCTGGCTACCCAGGAGACATCTGATCTCACTGGGCACCCTTCTCCACCTGGCACTTTCTAGCTTCCAAACCGCAAGCAGGTGATTAGATACACCCTGGAGTCTCATACTGGTTTTATTACCTAGCATTTTTAAAGTTTGGCTTTAAGGCTGAAATTTTCTGCTCTGTGGATCAAATGCATTTTTTCTTACCTTTGTTTCCATCATGAACATAACTCTGGGCTTAACATTATTCTAGACCTCCCAGATGGACAATTTTCATCCGCAATTGATTAGTTATTGTTGTTAAGTGCTGTGGAGTGGGTTCCGACTCACAGCAGCCCTGTGTAGGGTTTCTGAGGTGTTTAAATCTGTATGGGAGTAGAAAGCTCCATTTGCCTCCCAAGGAGTGGCTGGTGAGCTCGAACCACCAACCTTGTGGTTCACAGTCCAGTGCTTATTCTATGGAGCCACGATGCTCCCCTGATTGATTGGAATTAGTGTTAATTTAACATTCTGAGTTTTTTAAAAGTTGCAAACACAGCATAATTTTTCAGTAAAAATGAAGAAAACAGAAGGATAAAATAAAATTAAGCTCTGCCTTTGAATTTCCATTCCCCACTTTATTTAGGTTTTCTTTGCCTGTATGTACATTGTAAACATTTGCAATCATGGCATAAAAGTGGTTTTCTGTTGCGCATTTTTAAGTTGGCAAATGGGGTATTGTTTGACCTGCACTCATGCTGACTTCTTACTTATGTTTTAAACACATCATGTCCTGAATGCTACATAAATATTAAATAAATAAATGTTAAACACCTCTTGGAAGGTAGACTAAGTGGTTGACCTACACATGATTAACATTATTCCTAATCTCAAAGTTTGTGTTAGCCATGATGCGGCCTTTGAATCTGAATTTGCAAATATTGAGGAACTGAATAGTATTTGTGTGGCCATTGGAGTCTTCTTGAATTATACAAGGAGGATTCCAGCAGTCTGTGGAAAAATGGAATTGAAAGAGATTGGAATGTTTCCATGAACTATTTGATGCCCCTCATTGGAGGGTTTGGAAAATGTCTCTCACACCACAGCTGAGTTACCAGGCCTTTACACTGATGTGCATTTGTTAGGGAGCCCCTGGTGGCACCATGGTTAAGCACACAGTTTCAATCCTCCTGGTAACATAGTCCTGTAAAGGTTACGGCCTAGAAAATCCTATGGGGCAGTTGTACTTTGTCCCATATGGTTGTTGTGAATTGAAAATTCAACTTCAGACGAAAGTCCTGGTGAACTGTTTCTGAAAAGTCAGCCATTGAAACCCCTGTGGATGGATTGCAGTTCGGCCTTGACACAACAGGGTCTCCAAAAGTCAGAATCAACTCACGGGCCGCTGATTGTTTCCCTTGTCGTGAAACTGACTCCTTTAATTCTCTAGAAGCCTGTGAGCGGAAAAGAAGTGTCGTTGGCAGGTGTTGACACATGTAGGGAAAACTAGCTTTTATTGCTTACTGTAGTTATGAGTAAAGTGGAAGGAGAAAATACATGTTCAGTAGAGCCTAATTAGATTATTGCTTTCTATAGTAATTTCACAACCAAAATAAGGCATGTGGTTAAATCCTAATGATGGTGTTATGCTAGGAAGTCTTCTCATTACCGGAAGCCAAAAGTCTTCCCAGGGGGCAGATTACTGAAGTGTCCTTCTCTGGCATAGACCAGGCTTTAGTCCAAAGACTGGCCTGTGTGTGTGTGTGTGTGTGTGTGTGTGTGTGTGGTTGTGGGGGAGGGTGTTGGTTCCACATTTCCACTTTCCTCAGCTAGGATGGGTGTGAAGGGTGTGTTATAGAAACTTGAATCTGTTCTTCAGGACTTCATCCACAACAGACAAGGGTGTTTACTTAATTACATATTTCAAGGAGATAAAGGGGAATCGTTGTGTGGTGCTGCAGGTTAATGCACTGAACTGCAAGTTCGGTTTGAACCCTAAGGTTGGTGGTTCAAGCTCACCAGCTGCTCCTTGGAAACCCTATAGAGGGTCACTATGGGTCAGAACCAACTTGACAGCACTTAACTACAACAAGGAGTTAAGAGTGAGTTACTGGAGAACTAGGAGTCCACACAATAAGCGGAAGTCATGGTTTTAATATTGTATCTTCCTGGAGTCTGTTTATAATTTGATGTTCTCCGGTATCTGTTGTTGTTGTTAGGTGCCATCGAGTTGGTACCAACTCATAGTGACCTTATGCACAGCAGAACGAAACACTGCCCGATCCTGGGCCAGCCTCATTATTGTTGCCATGCTTGAGTCCATTGATGATGCGACTTGGCCAATCCATCTCATTAGGGGGTCTTCCTGTTTTTCTCTGACCCTCCACCTTACCAAACATGATATCCTTCTCCAGAGACGGGTCCCTCCTGACAATATGTCCGAAGCATGAGAGACAAAGTTTGGCCATCTTGGCCTCCAACAAGAACTCTGGCTGCACTGCTTCCAAAATGGATCTGTGGGTTCTTTTGGCAGTCCATGGCACGTTCAGTATTCTCCTCCAACACCATAACTCAAAAGCATCAATTCTTCCACGGTCTTCCTTATTCACTGTCCAGCTTTCTCATGCATATGAGGTTATTGAAAATACCATGGCTTGGGTCAGGCACACCTTAGTCCTCAAGCTGACATCTTTGCTCTTGAACACTTTAAAAAGTTCCTGTGCAGCAGATTTGCCCAATGCAATATGTCGTCTGATCTCTTGACTGATGCTTCTGTGAGTGTTGATAGTTGATCTAAGAAGAATGAAATCCTTGACAACGTCAATCTTTTCTCCATTGATAAGAATGTTGTTTATTGGTCCAGTGGTGAGGATTTTTGTTTTCTGTACATTGAGATGTAATCCATACCAAAGGTGGTATCTATTAGAGCTTATTAAAAAAAAAAAAAAAGCCTCTAATTGGTAATAATTCATGCTATCCCTAGCATGGAGTCCTGATGTGGCGTTGTGGGTTAATGTACTTTAGTGCAGATCTGCTTGGAACCACAAGATTGGCAGTTCACACTCACCGCCTGTTCCTTGGAAACACTATACAGTGTCGCTATGGGTCGGAATTGACTGTAGGGCACTTAACAACAACAACATCCCACTGTAATACTTTTTATTGTTGTTATTGTGAATCTTCATTACGTGTATACTTCTGATGTTTGGTAAATGAGGGCAAAGTATATGTGAATGCTACATCATTGTATATTCCCCAAGCCCATGACCAGAAAGACAATTATTTCTTTGAGTCCTTAATGCTAACCAAAGAGAAAATGACTGATAGCACTAAATGATAAAGGTGGTTCCAAAAAATGTGAAAGACGACTTCAATTATAAAGATTTTTCCCATGCACTTTTTGAAGATCCTGGATTACATTCTTCCAATTCAACCCTTTTACTCTCCTTGTCTGAAGTGCTCCTCGCCCCTTAATGTAAACTCACTCACCCCACAGTTTCCTGTCTAGCCTTTTGAGATCCCGTTGTCAGTTTGATCTCATGGAGTCCTGGTGTGGCGCTGTGGGTTAATGTGCCAGACTGCAAAGCTGTTTGAACTGCAAGGTAGGTCAGTGATTCAAGCTCACCAGCTGCTACTCAGAAACCTGTATACATGGTCGCTATGGGTCGGAATTCACTCAATGGCACGGCACTTAACAACAGTCTTTGAAAGAGCACAGTGCTCAAAGCAGACATTCTTATTAGTTAGTTTTAAGGAGCTCTGGTAGCGTAGTGGTTATGAATTGGGCCTGCAAACCACAAGGTCAGCAGTTCAAAACTACCAGCTGCTCCACAGGAGAAAGATGAGGCTTTCTGCTCTCGTAAAGATTTACAGTCTCGGAAACCATGTTCAGGGTCGCTATGGGTCGGAACCGACTCCACGGCACTTAGCAAGAAACAACGAAAAGACTTCAGGGATTTTTTTTAGTTTGACATTTAAAAGATTACCTTAGGGATTCACAGTAGCTTCAGGGTTTTATCCAGCTTCCATGGCTCCAGAAAATTGTGTGTAAAACACAGCTCTACGTACAGGACACCATCAGGTGCACATATAGTCTATCTGCCGTATTATTACAATCGCATAGGAGAATGACTAGGAAAAATTGTCAAAAAAGTCTCCTTTAGGGGGCAATAAGACGTTGAGAGACCAGCTCTTCAGGCTGTTCAGCCTGCTGTGTTGGACTTAGACTTAATCTTCCTCCTGCAGGGATGTCAATTGAGGTTTATAAAACGTTAAATGTTGTAGTTAGTGCACATGATGGTGAATTTTCTTTCTCTCTAGAGAATTTACTGTGGTTAAAGTCAATGGAAAAGAATAGGAGTCACTAATAACATCGTTAGTTTAAGTGTTGTAAAGTTAGTTCTGACTTATAGTGACTCTGTATAGTTTCCAAGGAGCAGCTGGTGAGTTTGAACTTCTGACTTTACAGTTCAAACTGACCTTGTTCAGTGTTTATCCTCCAGCACCAGGACTCCACTAATAACATTGATGGTGGTAAGCCATGGAGTCAGCTCCGACTCATAGTGACCCTGCATAGGGTTTCTAAGGCTGGAAGTCTTTATGGGAGCAGAAAGCCTCATCTTTCTCCTGAGGACTGTCTGGTAGTTTCAAATTGCTGACCTTGAGGTTGGCAGCCCGACTCATAACCATTATGCTACTAGAGCTCCTTAATTAGCTTCTTAATTGGTGAGACTAATAACGTTGTTGTAAAGTGCCATTGAGTTGGTTCCGACCCATAGCAACCCTGTATAGGGTTTCCAAGGAGCAGCTGGTGAGCTTGAACCACCGCTTTGCAGTCTGATGCATTAGCCCACAGCGCCACACCAGAACTCAATAACATTAGGTCTTGCCAATTAAATACCTGGGAGAAATTTGAACATCTACTTCCGGTTTTTATTCTGGCCAGTCTATTTTAAACCCAAAGCACAAACCCATTGCTGTTGGGCCAATTTTGACCTGTACCAAGTGCTCCCTAGGGTTTGCTTGGTTGTAATGTTTACAGAGCTCTGGTAGCGTAGTGGTTACGAATTGGGCTGCTAACCGCAAGGTCAACAGTTCGAAACTACCAGCTGCTCTGCGGGCGAAAGATGAGGCTTTCTGCTCCCGTAAAGATTTTACAGCCTTGGAAACAATGTTCAGGGTCGATATGGGTCGGAACTGACTCCACGGCACATAACAACAACAAATGTTTACAGAGGCTGGTTTACCAGACCTTTCCTCTGTGGTGGCATCAGGGGTGATGGGTTTGAATTGCCAACCTTTAGATGAGCAGGCTAGCACAAACTGTGCCACCCAAGGACTTTTGACTGCTCTACAAGAGGTGACAATAATGTGGTGCAGGCAAGGAGGGACACCAAGAAACTTGAATTCATTTTGCTTCTGTTACCTACAAATTTGGATTTAAAAACAAATTAGAAGTCTAGTTTAAGACCTCAGTAGAGAACTTTCATGTTGTGATCAATATTGAAATTTTAAGCGATCTGGCCTTAAGGGGTAGTAGCTTGTATATTTATCAATGGCTACCTGGAAAATTACCCCTTTCCCACATTGGATTTTAATGTGGGGTCAACTTGACACTATGTTGCTATGGCACTATATGGGTATCCATAATTTAGGACGCATTGTTTTGCTGCATACAAGTTACAATGTAGGTTTCTGTAAGAAGGAAAGAAAGAAAGAGTCTTGGCTTCTACAGCCGGCAGGTTTATTGAGAGTAGATCTGGGAGGGGGTACTCTTAATGTCACCAAAGGAGACCAAGAACCCTTACAGACTAGGGTATTTATAGGCCATGTGGTCTGGGTATAGTTCTGGGGAGTTTACAATGGGCGGGGGTATGGAGATTTGGGCAGGGGTATGGAGATTTTCCTGAAACCTGGAATTTCAGGAGGGGAGGGTCTCCAGGTGTAACAAAGACCCAGGCTTCCTGGGAGATTGGAAGCTCAAGCCAGCCCATTCAGTGTCATTTGGGGTAGTTGCAATGCCATTCTGTTGGTCAGGAGCAAAGTCCTTCAGTTTCTCAAGCAAACATTTACCTATGATATTTTCCAAAATAAGCTCAATGCAGCAGAGCAGTATCGCCTTTGGTGTGAGAGGAGAAAAGAGATACATTCTTCTGAATTGTATGGATAACGATCTTGTGTTACTTTGGATAGAGTCTCTGTCGCTTACTCAATTCCTGCGTGGTGAAAGTGAGTCACAGATGGTATCATATCTTGGGGTGACCGTGGGTACAACAGTTTTTCTGTAGGGCCCCGGGACCTCATCTATGACTTAAAGCCATTGGATTAGGTGTTTCTCTGCCTTTCTGATGTGATAAGCGTGTGAGTAGTCATCTTTTAAATTTATTTTTAATTTTTTATTTTTTCCTTAGCAAATGCTGATATTTTAAAGGCGATGGTAGCAGATAACAGCATGGTTGATCCTGAAAGGCAAGTGCTCCTCCCCCTGTTACTGAGTGGCTAGCTTCCAAAGACCAGGCTGGTACGTGAAATCAGCACTGTGAAAAATGGAGGCTAACTGCATCTTTACATCAGTGCCAAATGACATTAGTTCATAGATACCAAACCACTGAGAATCATTGGCTAGCCACATCACAGCCAGCGTTTCTCACCTAGTTCCACATTTACTGCCAGACGTGTGTCATTAATGTGCACCATAGTCACTTAGTAGATCCATCACTGTTATCATTAATGCTGAGTGTCAGATGATGAAATAGTTGATAGTGAGGAGTAAGGTGTGTAACATCAATTAATCCTAGGAAGCTGCTGTTGCTCCTGTGTTTAATATTAACCATTTAAAGAGCACCAGAAAGTTGGGTGGTCTGTGATGTTTGATTTTGTCTTCTCAGCCGTGGGCTACGTTTCTTAAACGTGCTGGTGGGTCAGCTTTCAGTGGGACAGTGGCTGCTTTCTGCCATCCTGAGCCATCCATGTGTCTTTAGGGAGTCCTAGGGTCATTATAGGAGTCCTGGTGTGACGCTGTGGGTTAATGTGCCAGATTGCAAAGTCATTTGAACTGCAAGGTTGGCAGTTCAAGCTCACCAGTGACTCCCTGGAAACCCTATACAGGGTCACTGTGGATCGGAACCGACTCGATAACACTTATCAAACAACAACAGCATGGTCATTATAAGGAGGTCTAGCTCTGGTAGTGTAGTGGTTATGGATCGGGCTGCGAACCTCAAGGTCGGCAGTTCGAAACTACCAGCTGTTCCACAGGAGAAAGATGAGGCTTTCTGCTCCCGTAAAGATTTACAGCCTCAGAAATGCTACACAGGGTCCCTGTGAGTTGGAACCGACTACGCAGCACACCACCACCACCACCAAGGTCACTGAGTTGTAGATCACTGAGGGAGTAGGCTGGTCTCAGTTGGTGTTTGCTTTATGTAACATTTCCATCGTCCTTTTCCTCTCCACCTTAGCCCTGTGACCCCCAGCACTCCTGGGAGCCCACCTGTGAGCCCCGGCCCTTTGTCACCTGGGGGCACGCCTGGGAAGCACGTCTGTGGCCACCATCTACACACAGTGGGCGGTCCTGTGGAGAGGGACGTGTGCAATCGGTGTAGGCACAAACGTTGGCACTTCATAAAACCCACCAACAAGTCCAAAGAGGGCCGGCTAAGGCGCCAAGGAGAAGTCACCGTCCTGTCAGTTGGCAGGTGAGAGCCCCTTTCTTGCTTCTGCTTTGTGTGTGATGTGGCTGCTCTGAGGGTGGATTTGCATTGGCCCATTAGATAGAGTATGTGTTTCCAAGCCTGGCACACCTTATATCTCTGGGCTTTTTAGAATGATTTCTGGTCTGAGTCCTGGATTTTTCCAACTACAGAAGACTCTTATGAGGGAGTTATTTTTAGATCACATGTGAGGTACTTTAATTAAGGTCAAAAAGTAATCATAAGCTGTACCAGACTGAGCCCTGGATCTCTAGTGATGAGAGAGGTCAGTGGGTGGAGCTTCTCTAAGCTGTCATCCGGGTCCCAGGTGCTGTCCATCTGTGTGTGGTTCTGCTGACTTTGCTAACGGAGAAGGTGTGAGGAGGATTGATCACAAGAATTTTTATGAGCAGACCTGCACACAGTACGTTCCCTTTCTGCTCATGTGGTACTTGCTGACACTCAGTCACCTGGCCACACCTCGCTGCCTGGAAGCTGGGATATGCGGTCCAGCCTTGAGCCTGGAAGATTGTTTTAATCCACAGTTCTCCAGTTTCTGCTACGGAGGTTCCCTGTAAAGAACTACTGTGACTGCTTCCTCTGAGGTCACCGCAACTGTTTCCTGGGACTTTCAGCACCAAAGTGCATTGTATTTATGGCCCCCGTGTGATGTGTGAACCTCTTGCAGTTCAGGCAGTGGATCAGTTTAATTTTGTATAAGTTACTTTTGCACTTCTATTGCGTTGATTACCAGAGGGACTGAATTACTTTGTCTTAGTTTCTTAGAAATACCACAAATGAGCAGTTTCAAAGAGGAGAAATGTGTTTTCTCACAGTTCAGGTTCGAATTCAGGGCCCAGCTCCAGGAGAAGGTGGTGTCTGCTCTGTGAGAAAACTCTTGTGTCCATTTCTCAGCGTTCTTGGTCTATCTCAGTTTCTTGGAAAGTTTCGTGTGGCCTCCATCTTTCCCCTATGGTGCAAGCTTGCTTTTGTGCCTCATCTGCTCTTTTTATATATCTCAAAGGTGATTAGCTTTAATACACACCCTACCCTGATATGGCCTAGTTACCATAATAAAAAAATTCCCTTTTTCCAAATGGTATTATTTTCACCAGCATAGGGTTAATATATGGATTCACTATCAATACTCATGGAAGCAGCCGTCAAGAAATAAAATGACCTATTGCACTTGGGCACAAGACCTCTTTCAAGTGTTCAAGTTTACCAGTTTAAGGACTAAGGCACATCTGACCCAAGCCATGGCATTTTCAATAACCTCCTATGTATCTGAAAGCTGGACAGTGAATAAGGAAGACTGTAGAAGAATTGAAGCATTTGAGTTATGGTGTTGGAGGAGAATATTAGAAGTATAACGGACTGCCAGAAGAATAAACAGATCTGTGTCAGAAAATGTACAACGAGAATGCTACTTACAGTCCAGGATGGCGAGACTTTGTCTTTCATACTTGGGACACATTATCAGGAGGGACCAGTCCCTGGAGAAAGATACCATGCTAGGTCAAGTGGAAGATCAATGAAAAAGAGGATAAACTCCAATGGGATGGATTGGCGCCGTGGCAGCAGCTGTGGCCTCAAGTGTAACGACAGTTGTGAGGATGGCACAGGACCAGGCACAGTGTTGTGTGTTGTGCATAGGGTGCCTGTAAGTCAGAACTGACTGGATGGCACCTAACAACAACAGGATTAGGATTTACGACACATATTTTGGGGACACAATTCAGCCTGTAATACTCCTGCTACACTTAAAAAGGTTTCTAAGTAGTGGGTAGGATCATGCATACTGGAGGCAGACTGGGTTCGAATCCCAGCTCCACTACTTACAAGCTGTTACCTCTCTCTGTGCCTCAGTTTCCTGCTCTGTCAAAACACATAAATCATAGGGTTGCTATGAAGGCTAACAAATGACTCACATAAAGGCCTTAGATCAGTTTTTGGCACTTATTAAGTGCTGAGGAAATGTTGACTCTTATATTATTTTAGTTCTGCCGAGTTTCATCATGTGTTGCACAAGCAGTGAGGAGAATTCTTTGCCCCTTTCAGCAGAACAGTGCCGCTTATGAGCATACTGTTTATTAAGAAGCAGAGCCATGGGAAATTATAGATGCAAACTGGACTGACAACCTGTAGCTTGTTTGTTTGGAAAAAGTGTATTTTGTAAGTTTAAAAGAAAAACATGAAATTTTAAACTCCGATTGAACTTGCTTTGTCAAAGTACCCTGTGTGTTCAGTCATCTGTCTTGTGTAGCAGGGGTAGGTACTATTACAGGCTGTTTTTTCAGTGTGTGTTGCAGAGAGTCTTACAGTTCCTCAGAATAGATTTGTAACTTTTTCCCCTTTTCTTTTGTTATTCACCTTCTTAGTCTTCCTCTTTCTCAAGTTGGAGGCAAGATCTCACTTTGGACAGAGAAGCATTTATTTTAGATGGTTTGAAGTGAAATTAAGAACAGAAATAGAGAACAGCTTATAGGAAACGATCCAAGACAAAAAGCCAATTTGACAGAAATTCTCTAAAGTCTTTTTGAATCCTTAATGAAAATCTCTTCCTTCATCTTATTCTTGATCCTTAATAAAAATGAGCTCATTCATTAGGATCCTGGTTTCCTGTGTCCATCCAGTCCACTGGCTTAACATTGTGTGTAGAATGTCTTTCCTACCTCCCAGTTGAGTGAACAGTGCTCACGGTGGTAAAAGTTTCTGAGTGGCCACCCAGGACACCAAGTGGGTATAACAATTGGTTTCTGATCACATGGAACAGCAGAGGAAGGAGGAGACCAGGAATCAGAGAAGAAAGTGGACTACTGGTCCAATTGCCTTCCTGAATTACTACCTCCTGTCCTTTGCCATGAGACCATGGCTGAATATTTTGATCAAAGACCCAATAAACAGATCCTGATAAAAAGGAGGAAAATTGTGAAAAAGAGCTTCAAATTCATATGGAAATCAGGTTTACTGGATCCATCGAGAACTGGGAAACCCTCAAATCTATCGCCCAGAAATAATCTTTAATCCTTGACTAAAAACTATCCCATGATGCCATGGCTAAACTACAGTTTTGCTCTGTTAATAAAGAATGTCTGCCTTGAGCATTGTGCTCTTATAAAGAACTAGCTATCTGAGTTCAGTTTGACAGCAGTTGAGCTAAAGCACAGATGAGAACTCTCAAGGGACAGAGTCTAAATTCATGGTGATGAAACAGTATGGGTAGAAATAGGGAGAATGGTGACCCAATGTGAGGTATGTTTCCAATGCCACTCAGTTGTGCAGGTAGAAGTTGTGAATGGATGTATGTTTTTTGTTGTTGTTAGGTGCCATCGAGTTGGTACCGACCCATAGCGACCTTATGCACAGCAGAATGAAACACTGCCCGATCCTGGACCAACCTCATAACTGTTGCCACGCTTGAGTCCATTGATGCTGGCACATGGCCAATCCATCTCGTTGGGGGTCTTCCACTTTTTCTCTGACCCTTCACCTTACCAAACATGATATCCTTCTCTAGCGATTGGTCAATTCTGACAATATGTCAGAAGTATGAGACACAAAAGTTTGGCCATTTTGGCCTCCATGGAGCACTCTGGCTGCACTTCTTCCAAAATGCATCTATTGGTTCTTTTGGTAGTCCATTGCTGCCAAAATATTCTCCTTCAACACCATAACTCAAAGGCGTCAATTCTTCTACGGTCTTCCTTATTCCTTATTTGGTTGCGTGCATATTGTCACCTCTTAGTTATCTAGTGAATCCTGGTGTGGTGCTGTGGGTTAATGTGCCAGACTGCAAAGCAGTTTGAACTGTAAGGTCGGTGGTTCAAGCTCACCAGCTGCTCCTAGGAAACCCTATACAGAGTCGCTATGGGTTGGAATTGACTCTATGGCACTTAACAACAACAACAACAACAAAGTTATCTAGTGCTGCTATAACAGAAACACCACAAATGTGTGGCTTTAGCAAACAGAAATGTATTTTTCTCAGAGTGGTTTTTAGTGTCATTGAGTCAGTTCTGACTCATAACCACCTTGTTTTCAAGGGTTTCCAAGGAGCAGCTGGTGGGTTTGAACTGCTGACCTTGTGGTTAGCAGTCCAGCGCTGATCCTACAGTGCCACGCCCTAGGACTCCTCTCATAGTTAGAAGGCTAGAAGTTCAGGGTGCCGAC